ATGTTCTTTGTATTTTAACTTATTCAACTATTCTTTTCCCTTTGAGTGATCAGAATGCTTTTTTTCTAGCTTTTCTGGTTTCCCTTCCCTGTAAATCTTTTCATTCTTTTCTCCCCAAATATCCTGCACCTCTGGGGTCTCATCACTGTACTCTTCTGCACCTCTTATTAAACGTTTCTTCATTCATCAGAAAGGAAAGGATTACAAGAGAGTAAGCAGGTATACAGTGGGAAAAACATATTGAAAGGGATGCACTGGTGCTGGCAGTCGGAAGCACACTAGGCAAACAACTGATTGTTCCCCATTATGTGCCTGCTTATTCACTGTAATCCCTTCCTCTACTCTTTAAGATGGTGGGAAATGGGCCAGCCACAGAACAATATGTATTGACAATAAGGGCAATTACATGACTGAGGGAATACTGTGAAGATTGTAAACATACTTTGGTTGGAAAATTATTTTTTCAGGATTGTCATAACTTCCAACAATTGCTGAATGGTAACATTAAGTCTATTGTATTTTTATTGTCACTTGTACATTGCCTAGAACATTTAAGGGATTGGCTGGTTTAGATATTTAGAAATAAATAATACATTGCCTTATCAATAAAATCAACAGTGGTTCAAGGCCACCTTTCCTGAAATTTTAGAAGTCCCATATAGAAGAAAAACAGACTACAATAAAATCCACAGCTTAGTTTATTGACTCCTGCAAGATTTTATTTCATTCTACATCGTTTTAAATAACACAAACACAAATGTGGATAGGATGGCAACATTCCACAGTATAGACCACTATCCAGCCCACCTGCCAGCAACAATGACCAGCATGTAGCCTGGCAAAAGGTTTGCCCTCCTGAGAGACGATTGGGGAGCCAGTCACAGAATATGATTAAGAATGGGCAGCAAATTAATGCACTTTCCAAAGCAAGCAGTAGTAGAAATAGTTACATCGAAAAGCAATCATGCAGGAATAGAACACAGTATCAGTCTTTTTTTCAAAAATGACCATCTCTGAATTCTGTTTTTCCACAAGTTCCAACCTTATTGGAAACATAGGAAACACATAAGAGATAAAATGTATTTCATTGTGTTGTTTCCAAAACGTGTATTAGGTTTAAAAATACAAATGGACTCTTCATATTAAGGTGAAATTGACCGTTTTGCCCAACTTTTTTCTGTAGTAAATACAATTTATTTTAAATGACTTTGTACAGTACTCAGAGGGATTAGGTCTGGTGTGATAATTATTGGATTGCATTTAAATTGACTATTAAAATAATCCTAGAAAGCTATAATCCTGACAATTTAACAATGGATACGACAACTTTTTGTAGATCGAAAAAATTATCTCACCACTCCATGAAATGTAGAATTGAACAGTTAGCCCTAGATGTGACTTTAAACTGTTTAAAAATCATAGTTTATTTATTTATAAATGCAATGAAATTATTTCACACTTCACCTTTGCCCCAGCATACTTTCCAAGCCCAATGGGCAAGGGGGGGGGGCTTCAGCCATGGCAAGAAAAAGGCAATAAAAGTACCTTTGGCTCCTCAACTATAAATAGCCAAATCAACATTTTTTCCTGTTGATCCAATAACTTCATTGGTGCTCCATTATGACAATTTTTTTTAACAAACTGCTTATTGAAAATGCACTCAGAACCATTAAAAGAAATGTTTTTGCAATAATCTGGAAGTTAATCATTTTGCATAAATAAAACACAATGAAACATTGTAATAAAATAGGTAAATAACATTTCACTACCACACTATAATCACAGCCAATTGATGATCTCATTAACTTTTCAAGTTCTAAATTGCTTAGGCAGTTGAAGGGTTCAGCTATGATTGATAACAGTAGATTCTTTCCCCAACTATAAAAAAGCTGATACCTTTTACAAAGGATATTACACAGAAATTGTTACCCATTTTTCTCTCTTTCAAGACATAAGCAGTCACTATGAAGGAATTCCCCATGATATGCATCTACAGCAAGGTGGGAACAATAATAAAAATAACATTTTTTTTAATCTTAAATGAATGAGAAAATAGGTCTGATTGCACAATCTTGTGCGGAAATCATAAATGGGTTTATTTTGTCACATGTGAATAGAGCAAAAACCTATTTCTTGAAAGAGAATATGGGGTTATGAGGTGTGCAGTTTTTTTTCCTTTGAAGAAGCTTCTGTGGATAAAAGACTTGTCTCCAAATTAAAGGAGACTGAAGGATGTTATGCAAGTTTCCTGATGCTATGCAAACAGATCTTTGTTTTTCAGACATAGTGATCTGGATTTCTATTTATTCCTAGTAATGAAGTACTGAATTCCTAGTAATTCCTATATATTTTAGTATATCTCTTCAAGGATGCATCATTGAGATGATAATGGATTCCTTTAAGGTTATAGTTGGATAGACTTGGCAGTTGGCAAGGTAGACCTCATCCATTTCCTGACTTTCTACAACAAGGGTCTCCAAACTTGGCAACTTTAAGACTTGTGGACTTCAACTCCCAGAATTCCTCAGCCAGCCCTGTGGAGGTGAAGTCCACAAGTCTTAAAGTTGCCAAGTTTGAAGACCCCTATTCTACAATTTGCTCAGACTGCCTTCCACTTCATGATCCAACTGTTCCCTCCCAATACTGATCAGCCTTGGAGCAGACATCTTTTTCTGTTCTTGAGACTAGAGACCTGAGACTTGGACATTCTGACACAGAATAGAAATAAATATGCTTAGGCTGATACCCATCTTCACTTTCATGTGATTGCTAAAAGATTGACTATAATAGTCTGTGGCAGCCAAAAAGAAACAAAAAATCTATTATAGTCAACTGTAGTCTAGGAGAGTTAAGCTATAATCCATATCAATCTTTAAGATGCCACCAGATGCTTCTCCTGTTTTTTAAAATAATTACTATCATCTTTTGATTTGTAAAATCTGACTTTGATGCCTATAAAATTCTCCTGCTGCAAATATATACTGTATAGCCACACTTTCCTTCCAATTATGAGCTCTTTACACAAGAAAGGGGAGGGGGGAATCACTCACTAGCACAAATGAAAGCAATTAGTTTTTAAGTCTATTTTGCACAAGTCAAATTTAACTGACTGTTCTTTCCTGAAATATTTTATACAAGAGAAACACATCATAAACTCTCCATGTATAAAACTATGTGATCAAAGAGGAACATTCAAGGAAATATTTAAGAAGAAAGAGAATCATCATAGAACATCTTAAAATTCAGACATCAAATGCAGGCAGGAGAGCCTTGTTTCCTGGCAATTTTGTTAGAAATTATATTGCTTTATACATACTGTGTTGCTGAAAAAATATTTTCAGTTGGATTTGGGCTTAGTCCTCATAATTCTTAAATATATTAGCCTTGTTCTGTGGCTCATGTTTTGGGGAAGCGACTTCCATGTCTCCAGAAATTACAAGGAGATATCATATCAGTCATCCTTTTTAAAGCCACACTAGTCAAAACTGAACTAAAAAGTTTAATTGGAATGAAAAGGAAGAATAAAAATGGAACCTGGAGAAAAGTATGGACACTTGGAAGAACAAATACAGTCTCCATCACAATATTCAAAACACCGCTAGAGACAACAGAGAAATGAGCAATTATCTTCAAAGGATTGAATTGCATTCATTCATTGCATATTTTGATGAAAACAAATTGTTTTTTTGCCTAAGTGCATTTACTGCTAAGTTTATTCATTAGAAATTCTTTTCTTTGAAAAAATGACATTAGAAGAAAGAATGTGCTTCATAATCTCTCTCTGTAAAACCCATGGCTTCAATGCAGGAATTTATCTGTAGCAAAGTGACATTTGGAACCACATTTTATATCTGTATTTGTAATCTCAATACAATACATCATGATAGCAACGTCTATCCTGACCTCATATTGGTAACACAGATCTATGAATCTTATCTTAAATATTTTCATAGTGCATCTGCTCTCCAAGATTCATGCTATATGACACTGCATATGTACAGCAACTGGAACATCCCATCTAACACATTATTTATTTATTTATTTTGCTGGCATCTCAAATCTTAAGACTGAGTTGTAAGTCTACAGTTGAAAGCACACTTTCTTACGGGTTCCAAAACAACAGTGATTAGGTCTGAAATTCAGTTGTAGAATCTTAGCCCCATTTATAACAGATCCAAAATTTACACCACAACCGAATGCCAGTTTACATGCCATTTTCAGTGGCCACTGCAAATGTTTCCCAAATATAACAGTTAAGAGCCAGCTGGACATTGCTTTCTATGTCTCTTCAACAGCTAGTTAGTCATCAAGCCCATCTTAACAATATGCTTGATTGCCGGAGTTCAGTTTTTGTCACATACAATATGTGACTAGTGGAAGATCAGTTGAAAAATATTAAAATGAAAATGAAATTTGATTAGATGATTTCTTGGCATACTTGCTCTTAGCTTGCCATCAACATTTCCCAAAGTTTGTCATGGGTAGGAGCTGGTGAGGCTGGCTGGCTATTTTGCCAAACCGTTTTAAAAGATGATAAAAATAATTCTCAGAGCTAACCCACAAAGGAAGTTCTTTTTAAGAACACTATAAGTAGGTGCACAATGGCTACCACTTCTAGTTGGGGGCTCTGAAAAGGCAAAGTGATAGAACTGCTGTTGCTTGCCTTGAACAATGTGGATAAAATCCAGGCAATTTTATGGCAAGCGGGAGGCTTTGATTTGGCAATGAGACAAGCCAAAGAAGTCTGTAATAGTCTGTAAGCAAAAACGATGAGGCACAACATCAAAAGCTCTGCACCGACATAATGAATCTAGCTCCTGACAAGTATGCAGTTCTGGTTTGCATCTTGGCTTGCTTATGTTGCTCATCTGAAGTTTGCCCGTGAGGATCCTTCGTAAAGTTCCTTTCTACCGAACCAGAAAATGTAACTAAAGTGCAAATAGACTCAGGTTCCTCCAATTGTTCAAATATTTAGTATTTTTATTACTAGTATTGCCATCTTCACCTTGATATCATATGAGATTTGGTGATATTCTTCATTCTGGTGGTATTCTTCAATTAAAAGGCAAGAACAGAAGAGGGATGCTTACGCCAAATAGAAGAGATTGGAAGCTGTCATGAGTACCATCATGGTAATATGCAAACATTAGTTAATGTCAAAAATAGTGCATTGAAGAATATCCAATAATCATAAAAAACAGACCATGTAATCTTTGGATCTTATTGCTTGCAAATAGTCCGAAAATTATCATTATACAAAAATTGTATCAAATCATTTTGTTATTCAGTCTTTACTGAGAACTGCTTCTGTCTTTCCTGCATCTGCAATGAATAATTGAAGAGATGGTTAAATAGCCACGCAACAGAGAAATAAACAAATTCATACGCAAGCCCTGCGCCAAGTTAATAAGCATGAACATTTCATATGCTCTTAGATGACTTTTCTATTTTTTGTTGCAGAATAGTACACATAAAATTATAAAAACAATATAATAGAAGCATGAAACTTTAACACAAAAAATCCCCTATCAGGAAAAATAAATCTAACTGTAAGTTAAACATAGAATGTACATTTAGTTCCACTTCCAAATTTTCTTCAGAATGCTTAAGCAAAGAGAATTTTAATTTAAGACTGAAAAGAGCCAATCCTATCATCTTTGGGAAGATACCCTTAAGTTCAGTGCCATCACAAAAAAGATCCATTTTTGTACACACGTAGCATTTCTCTGAACAAAGATATGTAAAAGAATTCTTTGAGATGTCAAACTGATTGTTGTCACTGGGGAGGGTGGGGGATTATTGCTATTGATTATTTTTATACTAGTTTCTTATCTTTCTAAGCCAATGAGAGCTGAATAGCCATATACATTTTCTTAAATAAAAGAAATTCATATTTGGGTCCCAGTCATTTAGACATGAAATGGGCATGAAAATGAACAGAAACTTGTTTCAATGTGTAGCTTGTATTTCTGGACTGGGCAAGGTGTTCTTTATGTAATTAATTCTGTGACATCAGAACATAGTAGAATGTGTTCCCGGAATACATGGGTAAAAAATAAATTCTCATACCAGCTAAATTCCTGAATTTCTTTTTGGCTTCTGCTCTTTCCTCAGCATCGAAATACCACACAGTCATTGCATACCTACAAAGGGGGGAAAATCCATGATCCATTACATTGAGGCTTTATTATATCTTTGGAAATTCATAGAGCATACAACTTATTATGTTGCTTGGTGACTTTTGACGGAAATAGTTTCAAATATGAAGACAGACAGATAGTTACTAAACTATCTTCTTCATTTTGGCACCTTCAGCTGTGCTGGAACTGCAACTCCCATTACTCCTACAGTAACCAATAATGCAAGCCCAACCAAACTGGAGGGCACCAGCTTGGGGAAAACTATTGTGAAGTCTGTAAGTCCTCCTAAAGTGCCATGTCTTGCTTACGTATTGCTATGAAAAGGGACATCATTAGAAAGAAGCAGATGGGCACATTATCTAGCCAGGGCAAAAACAATTATTGAGAAAGCATCACAGATGCAGTAATGCTGAAAGAGGACTTCACTATTTAATTTGGCAGCATAAATAATTGTCATGGGTGCTTGTGACCAAGAAAAAAAATGTCTAGATTCCAAGAAAGCCATTATTCACAATTTGCTATATGGATCCAAACACACCTATCCAAATTTTACCAATTTTGCCTAAATTGGTTAAAAAAAACTCTCAAAGGGTTTGTGCGTGGATGCACATGTATATAAGTGGGTTCTTTAACCAAGGCTGAATATCTGGCACACAGAAGTAGAAACACCTATTGAGCTAGGAAGTTAACATTAATTTGCATAACTGCATACTTTTTTTTTTCTTTCTGTTCAGTCATATCTGATTCTTGGACATTGCCTGGGCAAGTCCTGCAGCTTTCCTGGTAAGGTTCCCCCCCCTCCCCCCGGAAGTGATTTGCCATTGCCTCCTGCCTAGGGCTGAGAGAAAGTGCTTGACTCAAATTCACACAGTTGGCTCTGTGACTATACAGACTAGAACTGTGAATGACTCTCAGTTCCCAGGTTGATGCCTTAATCACTACATCAAACTGGCTCTTAACTGCATACTATGTATATGGTATTTACTATGGTATTGGTATTTACTATGTATAGTAAATACCAATCAGCAGATATTCAATACAGAATTAAACATGAAAAAATGCAATGATTTCCTTTTCAATAAAGTAATTAGAAAAATGTGAGGATAAAAGAGCACACTTTCATATCAAAAGTGTTTCTACATAATGGATACTTCTATTTTTCCAGTATAATTCCAAATTATATGACTTAACCAGAGTATTGTTCCTTTCATCTAGCAAGTTTGAGAATTCATATTTCAGAAGTCTATTGGATTCAGAGGTCTTTCCTGAACCTGCTATCTGAAATCATTTTACTGACAATGCTGAAATAGTACATCTAACTATATATGAAGTCTGTCCCTAAGCCACAGGCTGCTTTCCTATATTAATTAAAACCCACACCTGCAGTCTTTACCTTGTTGCATAGGAAGGCTGCACTTCATGTGGGTTCCTTCGGTCTGACCAGAAAAAAAGTAATCTGTCAAAGATGGGTTCGACATCCGCTACATAGGACTTGCCCTCTGGGAATATTCGTAGAATCCCTCCATGCAGCTTAAACAGAAAGAAAAGAACCAGATCATTTTTTGATTACACAGGATAAGCAGATGGCTTAAAATGGCTTATTTTGTATATATATATGTGCATAAAAACATATGTCAGATGGGAAGATTTACTGAGGACCCAACTGGACATGAATGGGGAGAATGAAGAACTCATCAGCTGATGAAAAATTTGCCACAACCATTGGGGCCCCTTCCTCTCATCTTCCTTCAATGGAAGAAAATCATTAACCCATAATCCCAGGGCTGACCTAAGTATATACCATTTGTGTTGTAATTCCTGAATGGTCTTTGGATATAATATAGTCGAAGCTCCTGCCAAATCACATTCTCTCTGCTCTACTGTAATGGTGGACATTTTGACTGATGTGCCTGGAGACATCTAGCACCAATTTAGGTGTATCTCTGCCAGCTGAGAAGCACAAGAGGGCAGTTGCATCATTTGTGAAATATTAATGGGAATAATTAGTGGGTAATAAATGGGTCAGCTTGAAGCACTGATCACTTCTTTTCCCTGGTACCATGAATAAAGCTAGGAATCTCGATAAATATAAGTAAATAAATGCCTTTTTAAAAAAGGTAATCATGTTTAAGGGCATGATCATTGTTAAATATAAAGCAAGTAAAATAGTAATGTACAGATAATATAATTCTTTAAAACTGCTTTTTACTTAGCCAAATTAATTTTCTCTTTGTGTTTATTGAACAAATCTTAAAATGAATCAAGTATTAATACAGTGGATGGGGTAAACAATGCTCCTTTTCTCAAGGCTTTCTGACCCCGATTTTATCTGGTTTTCCCTAGCAGACCTGTTATACTCTTTTTTGTTATGATAAACCTCTCGCTATCATATCCAGATGGAAAATTTGAACCACTTCCATCCCCATACTTAAGTGTTATATATAATGAGCAAAATATTTTTTTTAAAAAAATAAAGTTTTATTTTCTGCTGGAAATTCTGATTCAGTTTGCTCTGTCTTTTCAGAAGCAGGCACCATAGTATAACAAGCAGTTATAAAACTACGTGTGTTCTAATTTATTTAAATATAAACATTTAATTTGTTATAGCAATTAAAATGTGCAGAATCCCTTGACAATTCTTCAGAGAACACTTTATTTAGCCATTTATTTTTTAACAAAAAGCTGGAAGATTCTTGATACCTTCTAGTGTTAGTGGAAAGCAGTGTCCAGAGATGCTGCACAATCAACAGGTAATTATTATTATTATGTTAGATTTATACCCCATCACCATCCTGTCTGTAAAGTTGATTGAGAGAGAATGTCACATTCCAAGTCATAGTTTCGGTGGCTGAGGGGAAACTTGAACCTGGCATGGTTACCGTGTTTATGTCAGATTATGCCAAAAGCACTTTCACCAAAATATTAACATTTTAAACTTAACTGTCCCCTTTTTCTATTTAAAACTTTCTCAGATCAAAATTTTGTTAAGTTTTGTGCTATTAGGTTTACTGCTATGTTCAAACTTCTGGACTATTATTTTGCTCCTTTCTTTTCCTTAATCCAGAATGAAAAATATCTCACAGTTTGTTTCTTTTTCTTTCCTGCTGTTCCAAAAACATTTAACTTTCACACTGTTGTATCCAAATGTACTTAAGAAAGTGAGGTTTCGGTTAAACTCAGTGTCCTTAAAGACTCCACTGTGGCTATGAGCTAGATTTCTCTCTCTCATTTCCCAGCCACTCAACTCGTGAGTTGACCACAAGGAACTTCAAATCCTGTGGACTTCTCCAGATGAGTGCAGGTGGGCAATCTTTAGGTCAGTCCTTATCTAGAGAGAATCCCCTGGCCTGTACTAGTTGACTGGCCACAGGTAGCACTATAACACAGTCTTCGCTCCCTCAAAGATGTCCTAGTTTGCCATAGTATTCATCCAGAAAGTGGATCTGCCCAGACTTAACAGAACACTACTATAACACCACTCTATGCATGCCATGTTGACAGTGAGGTTTTGCAGCCAGATTGTTATTATAATCAAATTTACATCTTTCTTATCCAAATAACATCTGTGGTCTTTTATACCATCAAATATATCTATTCATCAGAGGGCTGCAGTTAAGAGTTCTTCCAGTATACTTACTACATTGGCATTAATGTACAGAGGTTTAAAACATGTAAATAATTTCCTTTATTGCTTGGATGCATCCAAATTATAAGAAATATCCCTATGTCATCTATTCATTTTGGTGTATTTTTTAAAGAAAAGGAAAGGATTGTTTTTATTTTCCACTCTGAGAAAAGTCTGGGGGATCTCAGTGTCATATTAAAAAATAATGCTCAAGTTTTCCTGGGTATCCACAAGAGTTGGACATGGTTTGAAGTGGGCATTCTTCTAGATTCAGGGCTTTGAGTAGCTGAAAACCGATGCTTTTGACAGTTAGCAAACCTAAAGGCAGAATGTCAACTTGCTTTTCTTTAAATATATCACAGCAAATAGCCTTTAAGCTCTCCCACACATGTGTTAGCAAACACAATGCTTTTTATGAGGCCAAGGCATGGCAAACAGAGGGAGAAGTTTTCATGATCTTATACTGTATGTAGGGCAAAATCAAACAAACATTCTTTTCAAAGGCTTTTTATATGGGACAAAAAAAAAGATGACCACAGCTGAATCTGCCAGTCTTCAGTTAAACTACCTCAGTTGTCAGAATCCATTTATTCCTTTATAGGCACCCATTTGTTTTCATCAAACTAAATCCTTTGTTACCTGTATCTTTAAATAGTGACAGTCATGCCAATGGCTCAGAAATTCTAAGTTATCCCCATCTTCAATAAGCTGTCTATCGAATTGAAATTAAAAAATAATGCAAACATAAAATGTATTTACCTTCACATCTCAGCTACCCAGAAGCAATGGTGTTGTTGTATTCAGAAATTTCACGGTACTTCATAAAATATGGAAGAGCAAGAAAACAACTATGTGGAGAAGAATTGTTTCTGGAGTAGGTTCCTTTTGAGTCTGCATCTCAACTACATGTGAGGAGCTACATACCTTTGAATCCCAGTTCTTGTTCAGGTAATAAATGCAGGTGATACATCGCCCATCTCCATTGGGATTGTCCACATGACGCACATAGCCAGTTCCATTCCCAGGATAGCAAGCTACCATAGCCTAGAAGGTGATATAAAAAGAGAAAGAACGAAGCTTAGTATTTTTTCCTAATTTGACAGTTTTTTTAAAAAAGTTTCTATTTGCTTTTCAGATGCAAATCAAAATATAACTTTAAGCTATCTGTCTTACAATGAATAGTTTCTGTAGATGCTGTTAAATTTAGTCAGACATATTTTATTCTTCAAAGTAATTCTGTTCCTACAGAGCAGTGCTTTTAAGGAGAAATGCTCCTACTGAAGATATTAAATCTTCTTTGACCTGACTGACTAGCAAATGTAGGCTGGAAATTAGAAGCCGATATTAACAGTCAGTAAAGAAATCATGGAGGTTATGAATAATTTTTAAAAGGCAGCAGGATTTCACTTTATTTTATTGAGTTATTTGATCAATTCATATGGCTGCTCATCTTGCAGCTTAGCAACTCTATTTAAGAATAGTTGTCCACCAGAAGTCTGAAATGAAACAATTAAGATATGACACAGCACACCATAAGGGCAAATGGTTGGAATGTGATCTTAAGGTCCATTCCATTCCTACTGGACATTACCAAGAAATACATGTAATATATCTACAAATGTCTTCCCTGTACCACAAGCATGAGGACCTTTAGAGATATACTTTTGAATTTCAGTAGAATAACCTTCTCTATAATAATTATCTTTCTTGGGCATTTATATATTTATTTCAGATTTAAATTACTTTGCAGAAAAGACTGTATCTCACGAAAGCACCCTGCCTCAAATGGGTACCTTTGAAATGTGTTGGTATTACAAATCCTGTAATTGCCAGAACTGTCAGGCCCTACACATTTGGAAATTATCTGAATGGGTTAAGAAGTATCCTTAAATTGTAGAAAAGTGTGAATACCACTTTTTTTCAGGTATTGTAACTCAGGTTTTTCCCTCTATATTCCCACTAAATCAGTGGTTCTCAACCTTTTTAATGCCGCGACCCCCAACCGGTCGTAAGTCGAGGACTAAACCGGTCGTAAGTCGAGGACTAAACCGGTCGTAAGTCGAGGACTAAACCGGTTGTAAGTCGAGGACTAAACCGGTCGTAAGTCGAGGACTTTCCCTGCCTGGGAGCGCCGCGCATGCGTGGTTCCGCCCCCTGCGCCGGCTGAGGGATAGCTGGCAAGCGGCAGAGACGGAGCAGGCCGACCACCAGCTGGCCCAGCACAAGGGAGGTAAGGCACCCGCCGGAAAAGGGGAAAAAAAATAGCGGACAGCCTTACTTGGCGACCCCTGTGAAATGCTCGATCGACCCCAAATGGGGTCGCGACCCATAGGTTGAGAACCGCTGCACTAAATAAACATAATAAAACAATCCATTTTCCACCGCTCAGGATGTTTATATCTAATGCCTTGATGAAAGTAAAACTTAGATACTGTGCACAGTTGTTCATTTTTTTGTCAATATGGGACTGTAGGGGCCTCCCTGTCAAGGTTTAAACCACAGAATTAGCCAAACGTGTTTCAGAAGTAATTTCTTGTTTTAATATTTTCATGCCTGCTAATATAACCATCTTCCTTTTGTGGAATTAATCAGAAGACTAAATATGAAGCTACCCTCTTTAAGAATCATAAGGGAATGCCACAGAGGATATGAGCGAAACCATATTTAGTACTGGTTATGGAGGAAATGAGCTCTTCACGGTACATACTCATTCTGGGGTTTTTTTAAAACGCAACTAGAACCATGTCAGAGGCCTAAGGCTCCCATTCCTGATTATAGTAATCACCATTACCATTTCATGAAACCCAGAGCTCTATGGCCTGAGGAGGCAGATTTCAGTCGTCAGAGCAGCCTATTCCTCAACTCATTTTTCTCTCAAAGACAAAGGGCATCATAGCATAAAACCACAATGTGATGACAAGGCTGTGAAAAAAAGTTATAGCTGATGGGACAGCAAAGCAATCATCACTCAGAATGGCTCGGGATAATTAGAAATGAACTGCTACATTTCTGCAGGGCAATAAACTAGGGAAGATTATATCTCCTTCTTTCTTCCCCCTTTCAAAGAAAAACCCAATAGAGTAGTAGTTAGGCATTTTTAAAATATTTCCTTAGTTACCACCAAAGACCATTTTATACTGCAAAGAAAGACAAAACAAAAACTTACTTCAACAAACCATCTGTCATTTTCATTTGAGAAACCTAGACTTAATGTAAGTTTTCTACATTCTTGCCCTTTTTCATGGAAGGCAAGACAGAATTACCAGCTCTTAGAAATTAAAAATGGAAAGAAAGATTGCAAATCCAATTATTCATCGTCTGGTTCACATCTTTTTTTCTCACTAGTACTTCAGTCCACCATTTACTACATCTTCTGGTGCATTTTCTCAAATTAATAAATATTTGGCTCTGTAAATTTTTACTGATCCAAATATTTATAGAAGGAGCAACCAGGCTTCAAGTCACTTATCTTCTAACCTCACAACCAACTGTAAACATGTATGTGAGTTAAATTTGGATGCAATATGCAACTTGGGCAAAGGTTAAATAAGTAAGGTAACCTGTAAATAAGAGCTACTTGTTTTAAGGCACGGATTGGTCCTGCTAGAATATGTCAATTTTTGTCCTTTCTGAAAATGATGCATGCAATCCATCTGAAGATTAGAAGACTGAATGGAGCTGGTATAGTATAATTATTAAAGCAGGAATAAGAAATCTAAAATCCTCCACTGAGGATTAGAATCTCCTTCTTGCTAGCTGCAGTCAAATGCTAGTCCAACAGCATCTAGACTGAACAAGGCCTCCACTTCTAAGGCTCCAATTTAGTCCTAGGCGTTGTGAAGTAGGAAAATTCGAAGCATCTGAAAGCCTGAAGAACTACTTAAGGACTTTACTTGTGTTCTGTTTCCTCATCTTTGAGAAAAACTTCACATCTGAACAGAAAAATGTTCTGCACAAGAAAGATATACTTTCACCAAAAGAGCAGGTAGTTCAGTTTAAAAATGAGAGCAAAAAGGAGTACTGAAATATTATAAATTTCCTTAAACCAGCAAACAATTTGGACGGAGGTTTCAACTAGTGGATCTTTCTGGATTTTCTAGGACCTTTTGAAAGAAGATTATCAAAGTTCCAGCTGGAATAATTCCAGCACAGATGAGGCTGGCCTCCATGTAGAAAACTGGCTGTTGACTGCTTCTTTTGGATGAATCTAAAAGCAAATATTAAAGACAGAAGAGGAAAAGGACCAGAAGGAGGAGCTAAGTGTCATATCAATAATTGTAGAATGTAGCTTAAAATAACTGAAAGTGGCCGAATCAATACGGATCACATCTTCCTCTGTCAATGTCCCAAATAACATTATGCACTTTGCATTTTCATAGCTGTGATATTGATACATAAACACCAAGTTTATTTGAAGTCCTTGTTTCTGTTTCATGCTGATTTTTAAAAATTGCTTAACTCTATTACTTAAACACACCTTGGAATCCACTTTCAGTGGTGACAAATGATACAAACATATTGTAAACAAGCATATAAGACAAAGAGGATAGGTTATTCCAAACAATGTTGTTTATTTTTTTTAAAAAAGGGGGGGGGGTTGCACTTGAACTGTGTTTTCTTACAATAGGCCTCTGTAAACCAGAAGCATATTGGAAGTCTGTTTGAACCAGGCTTAGAAATGGAATCCTGGGATCTTAACAGCCGAACACAAAGTCAAGGCAGTCTCCAAAACAATGAGCAGAATTCTTCATGCCAAGCGCATGCTACGTAGCATAGTGAGGGATTTCTTTTCATAGCACTTTTCTCAAACATGCCTTTTTTATGAGCCTAGAATGGTTGATGAAGTAGGAGATATTTATTTCCTGAGCCTCAAGTCTCAAGATTCTGGGTTTGAGAAACATTTTTTTTTCATTTGCCAGCTTCAACAAGAGAAACTGGTTATTTCCAGATCAAGTGGGGGTTGGGAAGAGAGCTCTCATGCAGGGGTAGCCAATCCATCTCATTTTGGATTCAGATCAGCAGACTTAGGTGTTTACAACTGCAGTGTTTCAGTGCTGCAGACTGGCAACACCCTATTGAAAACTTCATCTCCAAAGCAGCAAGACAGTTTTAGATTCACCTTGTGAGCCTTGGCTCCTGCAGATGGCTAGAGGTATGCAAAGGAATAATTCCATTCCAATGTGTCTGACAAATGTAATTTTTCCATGTAATAGTATCAGCCAATTGTAGTGTAATGTCCCAGATATGCACTTAATACTGGCTAACAGTTTATGTTATCGCTTCTTATTCTCACTTATGAAGTTGCCGGAAATCCTCTCCTGATTTAGCATTTCCAAGCAAGATGATTTAAAACAGGGCTTTTCAACCAGTGGTATGGGTACCACCTGTGGTACATTGGCACCTGGCAGGTGGTATGCGACCATCCTAGAAAAGTGGTAGTGGGGGAGAGAAATGAGCTGAATGGGTGGTAGCACCGCACAAGCCTGAGCGAGAGATGGCTGGAGATGCAGGGCTGTCTGGGCTCAGCGGAAGCGCCAGGATCAGCGCCAGGCTCCAGCTGGAACTCAGCCGTGATCCTGGTGCTTCTGCTGAGCCCTGAAGAAGCACCAATCAGCTGGAAAGCGGCACTGATCCTGGCGCTTCTGCTGAGCCCTGAATAAGCACCAATCAGCTGGAATGTTGCAGCCTCTCCAGGGTCTTGTGATTTACATTCAGATGCTTGGCAACTGATTCATATTTATGATGGTCCCAGGGTCCCAGGATCATGTGAAGTGACCAAAACCTGCTGCAACCACCCAGCAGACGGGGGAATAAAAACCAAACACCCCCCCACCCCACCCCCACTGCCAATCCTCAACAGAAATGCTCACAACAATGAAAACCTTGGACAGGAGGAAGAGCGCCGCTGGGTGGGCAGGCAGGTGTCTTGCTCGGCTGTGGCTTGGGGGCACTTTTTTCAGTACCATTGTAACTTTGAACAGTCACTAAGTGAACTGTTGTAAGTCGAGGACTACCTGTACTTTATCACTTTTTTCCTTTTTGGG